GTGAAGACAAAATTTTCATTGCACAAAACTGAAAGTCATTTAAATTGCTGATAATTCTACAACCATTGGATGAAAATTAACTAAACGCATTGTGATAAGGTGGCATTCAGGTTCTTTGTCTAGGATGAGTGATTTCAGAGTGCAATAATTTTCATCAGTGGTGAAATCCTGTGCCTTTGTTAATGATTCTGGTTGCAGCCTCGAGGCAAAGAATCTCTAAGGAGAAGAAGTAAAGGTTCCCCGGGGCAAATATGGCTCCGTCAGACCGAAGAGACACATTATGTATATCCCTGAAGCTTACTTTAAAGGGGCAAACCATTCCAAAGCTATCCACCTCCGTACCTCACTGCGCATGTGCGAAATAACATCAGGAGGCAACAAAGCAGCATCAAAGAATGCAGCATGCCGTCGGCCATGTTAACAATCTTTTACCACGTTGTTCGAAAACGTTCTTTGTTGTTGTAGTCAGAGATACTTGGTTTTAGCTATGTGAAATTCTTTTAAAGACTTTTTAAATGCAATGCTGTAAGTGAAATGGTTTTGGCTATTGGGTGAAAAACTTTGCTCTTGGTTTTCACAATGGTCATTCCAAATAATTGTCTAAACTTTTCATGATAATTGTTTTTAAAGTTGTTGTCGGATAATTATAATGTATTTCAGTGTTTCAATTTATTTAGGGGTGCCTTTAATTGTCTTTAAATATTTTTTTCTGTTCAGTTAGTTAGTTTATTGCAAATTTTGCTTTTAAAATTTCACACTGGTAAAATGTTTTAACTATGGATCCATAAAAATTTATTCGTTTGGTATGGCATGTGGTTTCCCCCCTTTTTAAGGTTTACAGAAGAAAAAGAATTAAGAAATTTATTTCATTTAAATTTTGTCTTCGTACGGCTCGCTGTTTAAATTGAAAGTAAAAATTGGACAGGATTTCTATAATTCGCCCCAAAATTCCAACTAACATCCTTTTGCTCATAAAACTCCAGAAATGTATGAAAAATAAAAAACATTTTGAGTTATTTCAAAGTAAAAAATTTACTATCTCCTCGAACTGCGCTGTTTAAATTTCACCCTGCGCTGGTGTTTCACTGCATAGCCGTGGCTCTTCGGTACAGCGGCGCAGAGGCGAAACAGGTTTACATTGCGTCTATGGAAGCTTTCATTCTTCTCCTTAGAGATTCTTTGCTCGAGGGTCACTCCCGTGGACAAAGAGGTAAAAGAAGTCTTTTCAGCAGGGTCAGGAGATAGACACTTTGTTATGTATGAGTGAAAGAATCATTCCCCCCCTCGAGACTTCAGCGCAAGTAAACACAGGGAGATATATAAGGTGGTTCCCTGAGAAGATAGAAAATGTTTTCCTGTTTAGAGCTATGGGCAGGTTGGCCTGCTAAGAACGATCATTCCTCGTGCATAATGCGTTAGAACATTTTTCCTGTAACCAAATTCTGAAATTGCGGAACTAAATATATCAAAGTCCCATACTGTCAAGATATGCAATTGTTAAGCTTTTCATCTTATTAAAACTCATATTATTGTTAAAACTTGAGTTTCAAGTTCATTTCAACCCTGTGTCACAACCCAGGGTTTGTGTAGCGGTTTCGGCCACTACACCACAGCATACAATCTTAGCCGGAACATAAGAACAACATAATTCAATCACTTTTAAGACCAAACAATGCTCAATTTAACAACATGTAAGAATAAAAAGCCTGAGCTCAACGAGCCGGGTTGCATTGTTGCGGCCGATTGCAATGAAAAAGAGAGTTTCACAAGTACATGTTTTAGCAGACCCATATACAAAATTTCAAGTTCTACGGCTTCTTATTTTTGAATTATGCTAAATACATACATAGGTGCATAAGCACAGACGTCAAGAAAATGCTCTATTCTGAATGCATTTTAAATCCATTTTTTGCACTCCTTTTTGGCAAAAACAGTCCTTTATTCCGTCCCACGTACAGATGTCACGCAAAAACATCGTTCAAATATATTCGAGAGCGGTCGTAATGGATATTTTTGCTGAAAAATGATACCCGAATTTTTTCGCGATTACAATTCTTCCTTTACTTTGTACAAGGAAGTAAAAATCTAGTCTTTTGTAAATTGATTTATTTTACACAGGAAAATTCACTATTGTACTGTGTAAGGACTATGTTAATTTTATTAACAGTTAAATTTTAAGTTAAAGTTCCTTTTCTGTCAAATTCTTAACTTCGACTTACTACTTCCGGCCAGAACATAGCTTTGGAATCTTCCTGAATACTTAATGAGGAGGAGCTAACCGCGAATCTACTTGCAGAAAGAGAGATAATCAGAGTTTCTGATTTGCGCGCGTCTGCCTTTTGGCTATTCTCTCTCTCTCTCTCAAAGCTGTTATTACGCTCGGCCGTACTCAGGCCCTTGATAAGCTTCGTAGTCAGATAGAGTTAACTCGATTAGAATCTTGATAGCTTCGGCTATATTTCTTTAGTTAATCTTAGTTTTAGTTTAATTTTTAGTCTCTTAAGTTCAAGTCCAAGTGTCGGCTCTGACTGTACACTCCAAGACGGAGTTTTATTAAATCTTATTGGAATAATAAAGGGTTAGTTACCCTTCCATCTTGATGTTTCTTGTTGTACGAACTTAAGCGATTATTCGCTAACTAGTTCTTAAGATTCGTCACTTTCTACAGTAACTGAGAAATACACCAGTGAGAATCTTACATTTCTTAACAAGGGCCTGAGTACGGTAAAATTTAACTGTTAATAAAATTAACATAATCCTTACAACTGTTATTAAAAATATCATCTTGTTTGCATTTTCTTTCTGTTTCATTTTTGAAAACAATATCATTTGCTAAGTTAGACATATTTCTGCCGTAAAAGCATAACTAAGTTTGTCGTACACCATCGAGTATTTTTTCTGGATACACAGCAGAAGCAACACTCATCTTTGTTGACATACTTGAAATTTTTCTTTCTGTTCATAAATTGCTTTATTATAAGTAAAACAACACAAATGTATAGTCGAGGCTGCTTGGAAATTTACTTGTGGCTCTGACTAACGTGAAGTCTCATCATCTTTAGACTATAACTTGCCAATAGATGTAGCATTGTTTATCATTAGGCAGTTAGAAGAGTAATATTGCCTAGGCATCTTCATTGAAAAGTTTCATAAATTTCGCAATCATTGAGCTTTATTTATCATAAGTGTGTACAAACTGTTAGATTTCCTTTAGGGGACGAAGAAGGAACCAGAAAACGTGATAAATCAACATGCCTTGGCCCAGATTCGAACAATGAATCTTCAAGTTCGTACGCTGACCGTGTTAGTCAAATGCACCATAACAGAACACAAGGGAGAATGCAATTATTATTTACATTCTGTTTCATTTAAAGGGCGAATGGAGAAAGGTGAAAGACACAATCGACCTACTCCAGATAATGATGGATTACCAGATTTGCACCAGATTTTATTTCTCGTCGCACTGTTCAAACTATTAAATTTTCAAAGCAAGAAACGGGTAAAATCAACGATACCCATGCCGGGACTCGGACTAGAGATCCTCAAATTACTAGTTGGACATGCAGACATCAGAGACCAAGCGCAGGAGCAGCAGTCGTTCTTTATAAGTCGATTACTGTAGATTGACGTACCCCAGGCACATATTCAAAGTTTCTTTTAATGTTGAGGACAGTTGCAGTAGTTCTTGCTAGTTGTAGCAGCTGCACAAAATACTAATTTCTTTCTGTTCTGGTCTCGTCAGGGACCGAGTGGTCAAGACCATTGAATAATGCAAGTTCCTCCCGTACCCAATAACCCCGGAGAAAGGGCTGGCTGGATGTTGGTTTCCAGGTTTTCCCTATGCATTACGTGAACATAAACCAATTTCCTTTAGAAAGTCTTTCACAAAGGTAACCTCACTTGGACAGATAACCGTCTTTTGTTTTCCCATATTCAAGTAACCTACTGCTACCCCCCTAAATATTGCATGTTAAAATTATAATTTCAGAAGGAAAGTTGCGCTTTGATTTCTTTCTCAACAATTATCCTTTCATCTTTTGTTGATTCTCTTTCATCTTTGGACATTCCATGCTTTGCAGACGATTCTATTTTTTATGCGTGCTTTTTTTGGTGGGAAAGAGCAACAATTTTCATCCCAGCTCTAAGTCATATGTGAAACTTTCTTCGAAAACGAGAGCGTCTATGTTAGATCGAGCGATATTTGTGTGAGAAAATTCTTGCATTCTCTTAAATATGTTTGAAAAAAAAAAGCTTATATAATCAAATCACATCATAATATTCAAGCTCCAAGGTTAAACTCACGAAATATCGCGTAATGTACTCTTTATTGCGGAATATTTTATTCGTCAGAAGAGAATTTTATTCTGGAAATTATAATAAAAGCCAAGTTTTCCTTGTCGTTTGGTTGTTTTGCTTGTTCAGGAGATCAGGCACATGCTCTATGATAACATAACGCATCGTAATGTGCCAGATAAAATCATTGGTACAAGGGTAATATCTCAACAAATATAGGATTATAATTTAGACGTTATTGCTTTATGAAGGTATAGTCGTGCTCCTCTATTCTCTGTTTTTACACCTGCGGTCTCAGTTACACGCAACTTATAACAAAAGCAGGGGGAGGAAATGAAGTAATACGTTGTTGTTATTTATGTGTTTTTAATTAAGTTAATTGCAAAGGAAAAGTTACATTAAATATACGGAACGCTTTATAAGGTTATTATCTGAAACTAACCCGTTATTTATAAATTCAACCTTTACTATAACATCTCCTTTCCGTTTCATTACCGTAATGCAAATCAGTTAGATAGTATTTAAGCTGAGGGTTTAGGATTGTAAGACACAGGGTATTTTTTCCCCTTCTCTGCCAGATAATTAGGCCTCCTATTTTACCTTTTCAGAAATATGCCTGCTTATTTATTGCTTAGTACTCCTTATTTACTGCAATATAGTAAGACAACATAGATAATTTTCCCTAATCTTGATATTTCTTTTCTACATTTTCAGAAATGGCCAATGGGAAGGAGAAGGCCGTTATGGCCATGGACAGTGAGTCCACGGCGACTGAGGAGTTTCTGCAGGATGTACCCGAGCGTGGCCATTGGACTGGTCGATTCGATTTCATTCTTGCTTGCCTCGGAACAGCCGTTGGGTTGGGAAATGTATGGAGATTCCCTTACCTATGCTACAGAAACGGTGGTGGTAGGTTCCTTATTACTGTACACTGAAATCAAATAGATTTGTGTGTCCGCTTAAAGAACTCATGTGGTAAGAATATAGAGCAAGGCCAACCCACCTTGCTCAGAACCTGGCATCAGAACTCATGTGGTATAAGGCAGTGCATAAACAGCATTTTTGGTGTACTCGGTTTAATTAATTGTAACTCGGTTGATTCCAGTTAAGCTGTAAGAAATATAAAGAGCATCCCGGATAAAAATGAAATAAATTTAAGCAATTTTTATAGGCATTTATTTAGCTCACTTTTGATGCTTGTCTGTATAGTCAGAAGCTTGTCATCGATCTGCAAACTACTTTCCGATAAGCTATCCAGTTAAAATTTTGTATGCAAGCACTTTGCGGCTGACAGTACAATATAGTGAAGTAATTTTTTTCAAAAACCGGATTTAGATTGTTTTTTAAATCTAATGCTAAATGATTTTCCGCACATATCTTCGCTTAACTTGTAGTATTGTGTGGCCCCCAACTTGTCAGCAACTGTGGTAGTGACAGCTACGAAGTGTGAATTTACACAGACACGTAAGAAGGGTTTAAAGCCCTTTTTATTCAACTTTAAAAATAACAGCTGCGTCCACTTGACGCTCACAAACTACGCCGACCCGGCGGTTTAACAGAAACAGAAAGTAAAACTGAAAAATAATGACTGGATGAATAAATAGCTAGATCACTACCCACGAGGCTCTGAGATCTTAACTAACCTAACCGCGTTCTAAAATACAGCTGAGATTCAGCGATCTTACTCATTAAGCAGTTGAAGGATTCAGCAAAAACTGCCGAGGTAGGCACACAAGCCGAAAAGCGCGGTTCTTAAATTTCTACCTAGCAACCTTCACGTTCGCGATTCAAGAAGCACACCTACAAACTCGTTTTCCTTCTATTTAAACTCAACTTACTTCTGCTAAATTTGAATATACTGCGCGCTCTACTACAATTTACATACTCTAGCATTGGCAATTCTAGGAAGAAGTAAAGGCTTGACAGGAAAGATAGTTTAAAATAAATGTTAGTTAAAATAATTATTAACCCTACAAACTAGCAAATTAAAAATCTCAAAAATTTGTCTACACCATCGGATAGAGTAGAAAAAAAATTCCTTTAAATAAAGTGTACATGAGATTTTAACGTTATTTCTGATTTTTTTTTTTTTTTTTTTTTTTTTTTTTTTTTTTTTTTGCAAATTTTCTGAATTTTTTACAACCGTCTAACGCAATAGAATTTCTGGAAGTAAGAGAGGGATTATTCACTATTGAAAAATGAATTATCAGTTGAATAATTTGATTGATGATATTTCATCGAAACTAAAAATATGAAAATAAAGAAGTTTATAAAATAAGCTTTTATTTAAAATTCAAGAAAAATTAAATGAACTAAAAGTATACAAATTTATTGTATAGTTTAATAAGAACAAGAGATTAAATAATTCTCTTGATAAAATTCGTCTACAATTTTGCATCAGCAATAGTAAAAGATCGGATGCCTATATAACGAAATCTGGTAATTGAACTGCAGTGCCAAATTATAAGCCCTTATCTTTGTGAATTTATCAAGGGCTCTCCACACTTTTATTATGAGTGATAAAAAATTGTAGATCAATTTTGTACAAAGAATTATTTAGTATGCTTTTCCCCTTAAACTATATAATAAATTATTTTCCTATTCCTAGTTCATTAATTATTTTATGCGTTTTAAATAAAATCTTGTTTTATAATTTTTTTTATTTAAAGTTAAACGTTTTTAAATTTAATTCATAGAAAATTAAAATTTCAATCAGAATTAATAATTCGTTCCTTTCAGTGTCCACGTTTAAGCTGCTGCATAAATTCTTTTTTGGTCTATCATACGAAGATTTGTTTAGGATCTTAGCATCTTGCTTTTAATAATGCCTCAAAACATTTCAACACCTAAATTAGATATCAGAGTATGATTGATGTAAAATAAATAAATGGAATCGTTTAGAACTCCCTGGGACAAAAACTAATTTTTAAACATTGTCTTCTTCCTATAACATAACTTTCTATTACTTTCCTTTCGAACTTTTAGGCTTTACCTTGAAGTGTGCGAAAACAGAGTTTAGGAATGTTGAATGATAATACATGATGCCACTGCTGAGATTAAAATCAAATATAAAATAAATGCATCATCTATGATGACTGTTTGCTTATTTCTGGATGGAATCAATTGCTTACAAATTTTAAAGCAAATACTTTTTTATAATCAAATTTCTTCACATATTTTTTTTAATCTGGAGCCGCATTTTTTTATTGGTTTGGCGGTTTTTTTCTTTAATTGGTCCGTTTTATTGGTTTGGCGTTTCAGAAACTTTATAAACCATTGCTTTTTATAGTTAGATTAAAACTTCATAAATTATTGCTTTTGACAGTTGGATTAAATTTAATAAATTATTGCTTTTGATAGTTGGGTTAAACCTAGTTTGATAGCTGTATTAAAACTTAATAAATCTTTGCTTTTGATAATCGGATTAAACCTAGTTGGATAGTTGGATTAAACTTCATAAATTATTGCTTTTGATAGTTGGATTAAAATTTCATAAATTATTGCTTTTGATAGTTGGGTTAAATCTAGTTTAATAGCTGTATTAATGCTTAATAAACCTTTGATTTTAATAATCGGATTAAAACTAGTTTAATAGTTGGATTAAAACTGCATAAATTATTGCTTTTGATAGTTGGATTAAAATTTAATAAATTATTGTTTTTGATAGTTAGGTCAAATCTAGTTTGATAGTTGGATTAAAACTTCATAAATTATTGCTTTTGATAGTCGGATTAAAATTTAATAAACTATTGCTTTTGATAGTCGGATTAAAATTTAATAAATTATTGCTTTTGATAGTTGGGGTAAATCTAGTTTGATAGCTGTATTAAAACTGAATAAATCTTTGCTTTTTATAATCGGATTAAAACTAGTTTGATAGTTGGATTAAAACTGCATAAATTATTGCTTTTGATAGTTGGATTAAAATTTAATACATTATTGCTTTTAGTAGTTGGGTTAAATAGTTTGATAGTTGTAAACTTAATAAATCTTTGCTTTTTGATAATCGGATTAAAACTAGTTTGATAGATGGATTAAAACTTCATAAATTATTGCTTTTGATAGCTGGATTAAAATTTAATAAATTATTGCTTTTGATAGTTGGGTTAAATCTAGTTTGAAAGCTGTATTAAAAACTTAATAAATCTTCGCAATCGGATTAAAACTAGTTGGATAGTTGGATTAACATTTCATAAATTATTGCTTTTGATAGTTGGATTAAAAGCAGTTGATAGTTGGATTAAAACTAGATTGCAGTTGGATTAAAGCTTCATAAACCATTTCTTTTGATGGTTGACTAATTTTGTACCGTCTAAGCACAGAAATTTTGCTTTTTCTTGCGTCACAGTTATAAAAGCGTAATATCTTTCGTTAAATGGGATCGAAATGATGTTGTTTGAACGAAATGAATAATGTTTCAATGGCAGCTAAAAGAAATTGCATATTTATCTTTATTTACTCATACGTAACCGATGTAGTTGTCTCTTTCTGATCAAGGAAGCTCTTTATTTAGAAGCGGAAATGTTACGTATTGATATAACAGAAGAATGCTAAGTTGCAATTGTTATAATTTAATTTGTTGTTATAATAAAGTAAACTTCATAGCAAAATATATCTTTATTCGTTTCAGGAGCATTTGTCCTTGCATATGTCATAATGGTCTTCCTCATAGGCATGCCAGTCTTCCTTCTAGAGTTGACCATGGGTCAATACAGTGCTTTTGGGCCATCAAAAGTTTTTAGCTCGATAGCTCCAATTTTCAGAGGTGAGTCAAATATAAATATACTCAAATAAAGTATTTATAAAAAATGTTGTTATTGTTTCAAAAAGGCTAAACACTTGCATTCGTCGGGAATGATCAAGCTCATCGGTGTCATCATCGATTACGTTTCCCAAACCGCACCTCATGAGATGACCGAATTGCAACCGTTCCATGTGATGAAAGGAAGCTGTATCCCAATTTTAATCGAGACACCCAGGGAAGGATTCATGTGTCTTCTGACCTTCACTCCCAACCATCGAACATTCGAGAGGACTTTCAGCTTGACAGTATTTTTAACTCCCCCCATACTGCAAAGGTACTTACTTATACACTTAACAAACATTCATGTCTGCTACGGGATTGAGCCTGATCCCAAGGCTATCGTAATCGGCTTCCTTATCACCATGCCCATGTCAACAAAACGGCTTATGAAATAAATATATGTGATTAATAATTTTACTTAATATATGCGTCTCTGTAAACATTTAGCTCATAAAGAAATATGATATCTACTGCCTTCTCACTTTAATTGTGTCGATGAACACCGACACATTCCCGATTTGGATGCATTTATTTACTATATAAAATAAGAGAACACTTACGTAAGGTCTTTTTTGTTGTTGTTGTTCGTTACTTATTTTACATATTTTTCAAAAATAAGCGATTAAACATAGGCAAGTTATAAATCTTAAAAAATAAAATTGATTAATAAAGACTGCAAGTGCTCGCTTTTTTATTGATAGCATACTAAACGGATACACGTGTTTTTGTTAAGTGCCAATGGCAATCATCTTTCTCACAACTGAACAAAGCGTTATTTCTCTGACAGTTTTTCTTAAATGCAATGCTATAAAACTAAACGTAACATGAAAAAAGTTTTCCAACAGTAGAAAAAAAAACTACTTTTCACATATGTCCTTCTTCACATAATGCATAAAATAAAATTCGTTAAAGTTAATTTCCAATTCAAGCTGCTTGAAAGCCAATTCAGATAAGTCCTAATAAAAAGTTTTTGCTGTAAATTATATCAAAACAAGCACACGTTTAGAACTACTAATTACGGAACGACAAAAGATACTGAGACTTTTCGATGACTCGTAGGATATCAGAAGTTTTGAAATCTTACACTGATTATATAAAACACAGCTTGTCCTCATCTCCAGAAGACTAAGTGCTTAAATGTTACTCTAATTCAGTTGAGCAGCACTTAACTGAATGAGTCCTTTACTCTGGCAATGCTATCTTATATGTATAAAAATTGTAACGATGAAATTACTTTTAGAACTTGCTTCCCATAGCATAGCATGCTTATTTCCGGTCGGCCATCAAGGATTACGTTCGGCCACTCATGTTCAACTTATGATGCTTCGACAGATTATTTATATACATCGCTACTCAAATATTCGCTTGGTGCACACGTCTCCCGTCAACTATCAACTATCCTAGGCCCGGGCGGTTGGTCTGAACATGCTTCTGGGGGCTTCTTTGGTCTTTTGGACTGCCACCTGAATGGCCTGGTCGCTGGGTTTCGGTGTATGGTGCGAGGCGCCTGTGTAGCCCATCTGGCTCAAGATAGAGGTGGACGTGTTGCATATGCCAATTAACCATTACGGTAAAGGGATGGTGCACACGTCCTCCGTCAACTATCAACTATCAACTATCTTATAAAAGGACCCCATGGAAACTCGCGTTTGGTCCGCGTCGTTTGAGCTTTGGGTATCTTCACACTGCTTTGCCAACAAGGATGGGTATTGAATGCCTTGTTCTTGTAAATAATCATATAGAAATTCGCCGCTTTACCCGCGTGTTCATTCTCCTCAACTTAGAGGCTCGAATTACACTGAAAGAGGAAAGAACTTTGTTCTTATTTATGTTTTCGACGAAATTAACTCGCACTTCCGAAATATCAGTTCATGGCTAAAATCAGTTGTTGATCCAAGTTGGAACCCGCAAAAACTATAATTCAGTTTTTTTCGGAAGAGTACGCCTGTTATCTTCAGAAAAGTTGGTATGAAAGAAAGCACTTTCTTTCCTAACAGAGGGTGCTAGCCTTTGCAGGTGGTTACTTTATTATCTAGGCAATTAATAGGTGGGCCATCGCTGCCTCCTATGAAGGGACAAACATTTTATATCGATACCTTCTCCGGAACTGAACGCACGCTTCTCCCCCACCTTTTAGGCTTCACTTTGACTGCAAAGATGGCACCACCATGTAATCTAACTTATAGGAGAAAAAGTGGACTATTTCCTGGCCAAGTGCCATAAGAGTCTGTTCTCTTCCTCCTTCTATGCCAGGACATCCACACGACTGGCTTAATCTCAACGAATACAAAAAGAACCCCGGACAGTTCAAGCGGAAATTTCTTTTCTAGTTTCCTTTTCTTGTAAGATGTTGGCTGATCCCACAGGCAGTCCAGGAGCAAGCCAACCATTTGCAGAGGCGGTATAAATACTTAACCACAAGCCGGTTATTCAAAAATTAGATTAAAATCATGACAATCATTGAACGTCATTTCGGATTTTTACCTCAATAAAAAAGCGTTAGATGTGGCGCATATGAAAAGGAAAAGAAAAAAAAAAATACTAATTCACTTTAATTCTATTTATGAGAAATAAATCTACTTCCCGTTATTTCATAAAACGTTAAGAACAGAAATATTATAATAGTATTTAATTAACTATTTTAAATGCTTACTTTTGCTATCCTTTTGTAACATTAAAAATAATCCCTTTCAAATTTTGATTTTGCTTTTGAAATTTCTGAAGTGGTTACATAGAATCCTAATGCTTTGCAGTGTACATTCTGTTAGACAACTAAGTTACTATTTGATGTAATATAAGATCTCTTTTAATCCTGATTGTTTCTTTCTTTAATCTTCTGCTTAGGTGTTGGTTACGCCTGGTGCCATCTTCGGTGCAGTTCTACGTTTATGCTTAACCATCCGTTTCACTGTTTTACCCCCCTCCCCGCATCAGTGAGTATGTTTGACCCAGTATCTGCGTATTGTCTTGGCACTTTTGATTTTTTTGCCCGATACTTAAGCGTATATTATTTTTTAATACCCGCCTCCTTGTAATTTTTTATCTTTTTAGTTCTATTTTTTTGTTTTTTTTTTTGTTGTAAATTTTATTGTTTTTTTATTTAATAAAATTTTCAATCAATAATTTTATTGTTTATTTGTAGATTAAATTGTGAGTTAATCTGTATAAATGTAGTATATGTCTCGCACTGTATAAACCAACGTTACTATAATCACATCGAATTTTGAATGACGTAATCCTACTGCGAATATGGGCCTGTGGAAATTAGGCAAGTTTGAAATTAGGAATTCGTTTTATTATCGATTTTATATTTTGTAAAACTTTAATTTTTGATTAACAAACTCAACGATTTCGAAACGAGCAATGGCAACACTGTAAAGAAAACACATTTTTATCTCCAGCGCGTGAGACTGTGTATGGAAAATTCTAAAGATATGCTCAATTTAAAATTATTTTGCGATATTGCTCTTGATTTGAATTTTATGATTTAGTGCGAAGAACATGCATGATATATAATAAATTAAGGTTAGCACACAAAATGTTAAATAAACGCCCCTTTGGACGTAATTTAAAATCTGAAACCTTTCAGAATTTCTTTTTTATTTTTTTTTTATTTTATTTATTTATTTATTTTTGTTATGTATTATTTCGGTAAAAGTATAGTTAAGTACTCCTTGGCGAAAATTGGCGATTTTGGCGGCACATGGATACGGCAATTCTTTGACTCGTTATTTGGCTGCGAAGCGCAATTTTGTCCCAAACATTGCCCCAAACTGCCGCTACACAAAACCAAAATACAAGACAAACAATTGCACAAACTCGTATCCATGTACCTCGACTTATTTCACTTAAAAAATCCCCGATTGCACAAAAAGGATTGCGCACCTCCTTTGACTTTATCCATGTCACGTCGACCTATTTCACTTAAAAAAAATCCCCGATGCACAAAAAATGGCATCGCGCACTTTTTTAACTTTATCCATGTGCACGTCGACCTATTTTCACTTAAAAAAAATCCCAGAATTGCCAAATGCATTGCGCTTCCCTTACTTTGTGTACACAACGATATATTTTCACTTAAAAAGTCAAAGGAGCACCAAATTCTATAATATAGGCAAACAAAAATACATAATCTCAATAAAATACATTTTAAACCAAACAATAAAATAACATAAAAAAGGAAACATTGTTTACGTTTAAGCACTACCAAAGCAAATATTCACTTACCATGATTTTCGAGTTCGCTTCGTACATCCAGAGCCACGTAAAAATCAAAATATCAATCATACTCAAATGACTTTTTCAAACCAGGTACTCTTTCTGATCGAAGCTTCACATAGTGACCATCTGAACCTTTCTTCCTACAAACCCATTAATCCCTCTAAACGTTTTTCGTTCGCTAAACGATACCTTCCTACATACAGGACACTTATAATGGCACTAAGTAAACCTTCATTTACCACACAGTCAATTAAACTCTTTCCCCTTTCGCTCCAAATCGTACAGAAACTTCAATTTAATCTTACTACAATTCGGCCATTCTACCTTCTAAAGAAGCAAACCAACACGCACCACAAAACGCTACAAAACATCCCATGATTCAAAATTCCCAGATAATGCACCCGATACGTCAAATATGTTTCCATAACATTCACTACTCAGGTACATAAATGAAACAACAACTTGGCGATAAATCAAACAAAACTTCGCCATAATACAAAGGGTACCTTAAAGTCTACTCTACCTTATTTTCCTCTAAAATGCAGTATCCGGGTAAAAAGGCTCCTGACATCTTCCTTTTACTGTCACTTACACAACCACACATGACCTCAACCACCTTCAGTTGAACTCTTTTTAAGAAATTCGCTATCAAACCCCGGCATCATAAGAACATGTAGTCAATAACACTATTTCGGCTGTGGTCAGGCTAAGCCCAACAGAATGAAGATGGCAATAAAAATTCAAAAAATAAATAAA